AATTGCCTTTCTCCAAGTACCTCTCCATCTTCATCATAGACACTAGCTTAATCCCGGGTTCTTCCCTCCTTCCCCGATAAGATACCCTTTTTCCATTGGGTCCTCGTAGCACCACCTTCTGATCCTTGCACAGAATTTGGGCTCTAAACCGCCCCAACCAATCCATACCTAAGACCACATCTATCCCGTCCAAGTCGTACTGGATCAGGTCGCTGGGAAACTCTTCTCCCTTGATGTTGATCTTGATGCCCTCGAAGAGACGGTCACACACCCTAACCTCTCCCGACGCTACTTTTACGTTAAACTTCACTCCAGTGCCCCCGGATAAACCCAACTTCTTCACGAGTCTGAGTGACACGAACGGGTTAGATGCTCTTGAATCGAACAAGATTGTTGCCGGGACAGATTGCATGAGGAAGGTTCCCTCTACTACATCGCTGTCACTTGTTCGAACTTCACTTAAGGTAAGCGTTTTCTCTTGAGGTGACCCTATCGTCGGATGATGAGCCTCTATTCTCCCATTCTTTCTTAAACCCCTGAATGTCGACAAGGTAGCTGCACTATGACTTACTCTTGTGGACGTGCCACTCCGGATCCACCACTCAATCACCCCAGAAGCGTTACTAGATTCGGCCAACCGAGATTTCTTAACCACGTCACTCACGTCTTCAAACGTCGCGGCACGCTGACGAGGAGGCATCGCAAACTTCTGCTACAACAACACGGTTACCAAAAGATGGCAAACAAGCAAAGAATAGAAAACAACACACAGCTCACCACGCAACCTAACGCCCTAAGCCTAACACTTAGCTTCTTAAGGTCGCTTAGAGGTCTCAAACCACACTTAACCACTTAGAAAGTCTAGACTTAACTCTTCCTAGGCTCAAACCTAGGCTCTGATACCAACTGTAACACCCCCCAAAATTGCTATATATAAAAGGCCTTAATGCATGCAGATAACACAACAAAACACTAGCACAGCGGAAGATAAAAAGGTAACTGGATAAAACAAATCCAAAATAGGGGTGTTATGCCACGTTTACCAACAATGATAAACGCTACGACGGTCGAATCTGCATTGTGTACACAACTATCCCAAACTCATAAGTCTATCACTACATCGGCTCACAGGCCACAAAGCAAGGAAAAAGGCACTAAACTATCGGCCACTAGACATCGTGCTCGTCTAGACATCACCAGAAAGAACACAAACATGAACATGGAACGACGCCCGGTCAGCGTTAATGCTGGTAACCCGCCAATACCTGTTATATATCATACATAGATAGGATATGTATACAAAATCATTTCGAAACTGAATACATATATATAAGTGCAAAACCGAGAGTAAACACCAACTCAAGACTCATCGCTCTCAAGGATAACACGGGAACACATCCCAAGACCGCAAAGGACAACAACAACTCGAAGATAAAGACACGACAAATGGCAACACATGCCTTTGTGACTACACACGTCACAAGAGAGAACACATAACCACGGCTACACAACCCCTCGTGACATCACACATCACGAGTTCATATGCATTCCCTATGCCCTGTTCCAACCTTATGGCTACCCCCAACCTTATATCTAGTTCCAACCTTTACCTCCAGGACCCCTGTACTCCAAGTCCAACCTTATTCCCCCGGGAACCGTCGTTCCCCCTCCGACAGTCCCTCCAACAAGACCACTGATTTCATAGTACACGAGGTATCGTACACACACAAGGCAACACTTGCCCTGGATAACACCTGTTATTCCCCAAAAACGTGAACCTTACACAAAAGCCACAGCTCCATAATCACGCCACGACCACCACGAGGACCGCTACAATACCTTGGTGACTAGTATCCCATACCACTAATCGTGCAATCCAGGTAATGCCACACACGCATCACACCTCAACAAGAATCTGTCAACGGATCACAACGAAGGTATGAAACATACTCAATCAAGGAATGGGTCACAGCCCCACAACAACAACGATGAATAACACAAGTTATCATCAACCAAACCGGAAGGTACAAACAACACACACGCAAGCATTTAGATACCAAACTAGCATGCTTATCAAACGGACAAACCAAAGGTAGTTCCGAGGAACACACAAGACACTTCAAGGTTCAACGAAACACGATGTTGAACACTTAGCACGATTCAAGACACCAAAGTCCTACATGGAATCCTACCATATAGTTCTAGACATACGAAACATCAAGAAGACACTCAAATAGTTCCACAAAAGAACATCGGGAAGTCCAAAGACCAAATAACGAGTCAAAAGAATCACGGGGAACAAATCCGAAGCAAACACCACAGTGTTCCCCGCGGGTGGACCCACGGGTAGGCTCCCACCAGTGGTTTCGCCCGCGGGTACACTACCCGCCGGCTACATGTTCCCCGCGGGTGGAGCTCGACCCGTCGTTCCGCCCGCGGGTACATACACCTGTGCAAGACAATCCATTCGGGGATTTTCAACTTCAAGCTCAAATTCAAGTCCAAAACATGCCAAATCTCACCCAATACAACAAAATGACTTGAATCATAGGAAATGCCAAGCAATGGCACAAAAGAACCCTAAACACAAGCTCTAGATATGCATTTTCACAAGATAAATGCATAAACACTCACATTTCATAGCAAAACACAAGTAGAATCCAAGAAATCACATATAGGTAAGCAAAATAGGTTTTAGTAGAGCATGGGTTACCTCTTGTAGACCAAAATACTTCACTTTACACCTCAACAAGCTCCTTACAAGGCTCACTTTCCAAACCCACTTCAAGAACAAACCAAAAGATCATAAAGATCCTACCTTTAAGAAAAAGACACCTAAGATGGAACCAAAAACATAAGATGGACTTAGATCTTACCCTCTTAGATGCCGAAATAGGTGAAAGGTGGAATCTTGGAAGCAAATCTTGAAATCTTGGCAAGGTCTCAACTTAGCTTGGAGGAAAAGCTACTCACCTTTCTAAAGAGAAGATAGAGATAATATTTTAGAAAGTGTGAGGGGTAGAATGAAGATGTCTTCTAGGTTAGGTTACAATACTAACACTAGGTGAAAGGTCAAGAATACCCTTACTAACTTTAGAAAGTGTAAAGAACAAGGGAACTCCCTTCAAAGCACAAGGTACAACTTTGACTTTGGAATTGACTAGTCAAATACTAGTCCTCAAGTATTAAAAATCAGGATTTTAGGAATTAATTCCTCAATTAAAATAGTATTAATTACTCAATTAATCCATGGATTGAATTTGGATTTTTGGGGTGTCACAGTAAGATCTAAGTTCATCTTGTATTTTTGGTTTTATCTAAGGTGTCTTTTCTTAAAGATAGGATCCTTATGAAATTTTGGTATGTTCTTGAAGTGGGTTTGGAAGGTGAGCCTTGTGAGGAGCTTGTTGAGGTGTAAAGTTAAGTCTTTAGTCTACAAGAGGTAACCCGTGGTCTAAAAAATCTATTTTGCTTACCTATATGTGATTTCTTGGATTCTACATGTGTTTTGCTATGAAATGTGAGTGTTTATGCATTATCTTGTGAAAATGGATATCTAGAGCTTGTGTTTAGGGTTCATTTGTGCCATTGCTTGGCATTTCCTTTGATTCATGTCATTTTGTTATATTTGGTGAGATTTGGCATGTTTTGGACTTGAATTTGAGCTTGGAGTTGAAAATCCCCGAAGGGATTATTTGTGCAGGTATACGTACCCGCGGGCGGAACGACGGGTAGAGCTTCAACCCGCCGCCCACTCGCGGGGTACAGTGGCCTCGTGGGTGTGTACCCGCCGGTGGAACCACGGGTGGGAACCTACCCGTAGGTCCACCCGCGAGGAACAAGCTGATGTTGTGATGGGATTTGTTCCCCGTGATTCTTTTAACTCGGTATTTGGTCTTTTGAGTTATCGTTGTTCTTTTGTGGAACTATTTGAGTGTCTTCTTGATGTTTCGTATGTCTAGAACTATATGGTAGGCATCCATGTAGGTTTTTGGTGTCTTGAATCGTGCTAAGTGTTCAACATTGTGTTTCGTTGAACCGTGATGAGTCTTGTGTGATCTTAGGAACTATCTTTTGTTTAGCAGTTTGATAAGCATGCTAGTTCGATGTTTAAATGCTAGCGTGTGAGTTGTTTGTACCTTCCTATTGGTTGATGATAACTTGTGTTATTCATCGTTGCTGTTGTTGGGCTGTGACCCATTCCTTGATTGAGTATGGTTTCATATCTTCGTTGTGATCCGTTGATTGATTCCTGTTGTGGTGTGACGCGTGTGTGGCTTTACCTGAATTGCACGATTAGTGGTATGGGACAGTAGTCACCAAGGTATTGCAGCGGTCCTCGTGGTGGCCGTGACGTGATTATGGAGTTGTGACCTTTGTGTAAGGTTCACGTGATTCTTGGGTGGCATGTGTTGTCGTGTGTGTGATCGGTACCCTCGTGTACTATGAAATCGGTGGTTCTATTGGAGATCTGTTGGAGAGGGGACGACGGTCCTCGGAGGGAAAAGGTTGGACTTGGTGTACAGGGGTCCTGGAGGTAAAGGTTGGAACTAGACATAAGGTTGGGGGTAGCCATAAGGTTGGAACTAGACATAAGGTTGGGGGTAGCCATAAGGTTGGAACCGGGCATAAGGAAAGCATATCAACTCGTGATGGGTGATGTCAGGAGGGCTTTTGTAGCCGTTGTTGTGAGTTCACTTGTGACGTGTGTAGGCATAAAGGCATGAGTTGCCTAAGTATGTGTTGCCATCGGTTTTGTCTTTATCCTTTGTGTTGAGGTTATCCTTGTGGTTGGGATGTGTTCCCGTATCCTTGTTGAGAGTGTTGAGTCTTGTGTTGACTATTGCTCTTGGTTTTGTACTTATATACTTATGTATTCCATTTCGAAAATGGCTTTACAACTTATATCTTATCTATGCATGTTATTTCTCATGTATTGGTGGGTTACCAGCATTATTCGCTGACCGGGCGTCGTCCCATGTTTTATTGTGTTCTTTTAGGTGATGTCTAGGCGAGTGCGCAGTCTAGTGCTTGCTAGTGTAGCTTCTCCCACTTGTTTTGTGGCCTGTGTGCCAGTTTAGTTGTAGACTTTTGAGACTATGGATTAGTTGTCAACAATTCAGATATTGCCGTAGCGTTCATCCTTTTCGGTGAACGTGGCATAACACCCCGTGACTTGGATTTATGTTTATCTAACTTATCTTTTAGTCTTCCGCTGTGTTTGTTGTTTAGTTCAGTTATCTGTATGTTTAAGGCTTTTAAATAGCTTGCTTTTAAGGGGTGTTACAGTTGGTATCAGAGCCAGGTTTGAGCCTTGGAAGGAGTTAAGTCTAGACTTTCTAAGTGGCTATGTGTGGTTTGAGACCTTAAGGTGACCGTAAGAATCTAAGTGTTTAGGACTTAGGACTTTAGGACGCATGGTGAGGTTGTGAGTTCTTGTGTTGTTTTCTGTTGTGTTTTATGTGCTTGTTTTCTTTTTAGCTTCAGTTCTCTTTAGTTAAGCCACCAGGTAAGGGTGCGGGCCCTAAGTTTCCTCCCGTTATTGTGCTGTTGCTGTATAAGTCGAGGATGGCATCATCGTGACGTCGTGCAAGGTCTTCAGAAATAGTCACCAGTGAACAGTTAGCTCACAGTTTTCATGAACTGACGCAAATCACCCAAACGCTAAGCAACGCCCTTCTCAACAACCACCCTCTTCGGAATGGGAATCGGGATGTAGTTCGCCGAGTCGCAAGTCTCCGTCCCCCGATCTTCGCCAGTGAAAAAGATCCCGCAATGCTGGACGTGTGGATCCGGATGTTTGACAAGATCTTCCAAGTTGTGGTATGCCCGGAGAATCGCAAGGTGGAGTTGGCTACGTTCTACCTTCGGCAAGAAGCGAACTCGTGGTGGATGCTTGAAAGGCCAGCTTGTAGACAAGATCCGGAGTTAATCCACATTCAATCCATAGATTAATTGAGTAATTAATCCTATTTCAATTGAGGAATTAATTCCCAAAATCTTGATTTTTAATCATTGAGGACTAGTATTTGACTAGTCAACTTCAAAGTCATGTTGTACCTTGAGCTTTGAAGGGAGTTCCCTTGTTCCTTACACTTTCTAATGTTAGTAAGGGTATTCTTGACCTTTCACCAAGTGTTAGTATTGTAACCTAACCTAGAAGACATCTTCATTTCATCCCTTACACTTTCTAAAACTTTAGCTCTACCTTATCTCTAGAAAGGTGAGTAGTTTTTCCTCCAAGCTAAGTTGAGACCTTGCCAACACTTCAAGATTTGCTTCCAAGATTCAACCTTTCACCTATTTGGGCATCTAGGAGGGTAAGATCTAAGTCCATCTTGTGTTTTGGTTCCATCTTAGATGTCTTTTTCTTAAAAGTAGGATCTTTATGATCTTTTGGTTTGATCTTGAAGTGGGTTTGCAAAGTAAGCCTTGTGGGGAGCTTGTTGAGGTGTAAAGTGAAGTCTTTTAGTCTACAAGAGGTAACCCATGCTCTACAAAACCTATTTTGCTTACCTATACGTGATTTCTTGGATTCTATGTGACACCCCAAAAATCCACACTCCAATCCATGAATTAATTCTGTAATTAATTCTATTTCTTTTGAGGAATTGATTCCTAAAATCCTGATTTTTGATACTCAAGGACTAGTATTTGACTAGTCAATCTTTAAGTGGTGTTGTACCTTGTGCTTTGAGAGGAGTTTCCTTGTTCCTTACACTTTCTAAGAGTTAGTAAGGGTATCCTTGTCTTTTCACAAAGAGTTAGTTTTGTAACCTAAACCTAGAAGACTTCTTCATTTTTCATCCCTTACAATTCCTAGAAAATATCTCTACCTTCTCTCTAGAAAAGAAGAGTAGCTTGTTCTTCAAGCCTAGTGAAACCTTTGTCAAGATTCCAAGTTTTGCTTCCAAGATTCAATCTTTAATCTATTTGGGCATCTAGAAGGGTAAGATCTAAGCTTGTCTAGTCTTTTGGGTTCCATCTTAGTTGTCTTTTTCTCAAAGGTGGGATCTTTATGATCTTTTGGTTTGATCTTGAAGTGGATTTGGCTAGTGAGCTTAGTGGAGAGCGTGTTGTGGTGTAAGAAGAGTCTTTTGGTCTTCAAGAGGTAACCCATGCTCTACAAAACCTATTTTGCTTACCTATATATGTGGAACTATTTGAGTGTCTTCTTGATGTTTCGTAGGTCTAGAACTAATGGTAGGTATCCATGTAGGATCTTTGGTGTCTTGATTCGTGCTAAGTGTTCAACATTGTGTTTCGTTGAACCGTGTGGTGTCTTGTGTGTTCCTCAGAACTATCTTGAGTTTCCCCGTTGTTAAGCATGCTAGTTCGTTGTCTTAATACTAGCGTGTGTGTTGTTCGGACATTCCGTTTGGATGATGATAACTTCTGTTATTCATCGTTGTTGTTGTTGGGCTGTGACCCGTTCCTTATTGAGTGTGTTTCATACCTTCTTTGCAATCCGTTGATTTGTTTCGTGTGAGTGGTGGTGCGTGTGTGGCTCTACCTGGATTGCACGATTAGTGGTATGGGACACTAGTCACCAAGGTATTGCAGCGGTCCTCGTGGTGGCCGTGACGTGATTATGGAGCTGTGGCTGAGTCCACGTGTTTGGGGGATAACATTGTGTTATCCGGGCATGTGTTGCCGTGATTGGTGGGTTTTCGTTGGTGGTTATAGCTGGGGGACGACGGTCCCGGCGGAATAAGGTTGGACTTGGCTGTACAGGGGATTTCTGGAGGTAATGGTTGGCTTTGAAGGTACAAGGATGGGGGTAGCCAAAAGGTTGGAACAGGGCATAAGGAAGGCATATCAACTCGTGATGGGTGATGTCACGAGGGCTTGTGTAGCCGTTGTGGTGAGTTCTCTTCTCTCGTGACGTGTGTTGTCACGGAGCCCTGTGGTGTTTTGGCATGTGTTGCCATTGGGTGAGTCTTTATCCTTGTGTGTGGTTAACCTTTGTGGTTGGGATGTGTTCCCGGTGTTATCCTTGTGAGTGGTGAGTCTTGTGTTGTCTTTTGATCTTGGCTTTTGACTTATATATATGTATTCCGTTTCGAAAATGGTTTTTATATCTTATATCTACCTATTTATGATACTTAACGGTATTGGTGGGTTACCAGCATCTTTCGCTGACCGAGCGTCGCCCCGATGTTTATCTTTGTGTTCTTTCAGGTGTTGAGTAGTCGAGCGCGATGTCTAGAGCCGGTAGCTTAGCACCTGTACCTTTAGATTTTGTCTTTGTGGCCTGCGTGCCAGTGGTTTTAGACTGTTTGTAGTTTGATGTTTTGGGATTGTGATACACTTGCAGATTGTTCGCCTTAGCGTTTACCGGGTGTGGTAGACGTGGCATAACACCCCTGTTTTGGATTTCATTTATCCAGTTACCTTTTTATCTTCCGCTGTGCTAGTGTTTTGTTGTTAATCTGCATGTGTTAAGACTTGTTTTTAGGTCTTGTTTTTGGGGGGTGTTACAGTTGGTATCAGAGCCTAGGTTTAGAGCCTAGGAAGAGTTGAGTCTAGACTTTCTAAGTGTTTAAGTGTGTTTTGAGACCTCTAAGCGACCTTAAGGAGTTAAGTTTTAATCTTAGGACTCTAAGTTGCGCGGTGAGATGTGTGTTATTTTGGTTACTTGCTTGTTATTTTGGTAACCTTGTTGTTGTAGCAGAAGTGCGATGCCTCCTCGTCCTCGCGCTCGCACCCCAGAGACCCCGACCAACGAGCAGCTCGCCCAGATTCTCCATCAGTTGACACAGACGATGCAGTCTCTCAGTGAAGCTCTGTTGAACAACAATCAAGTTGCGCCGCCTCCGCCTCCGGTTGGGCACCGTGATGTGGGTCGCCTAGTGTCAGGGCATCGGCCGCCTTCCTTTGCTGGTGAAGAAGACCCTGTAGTCCTTGAAGAGTGGCTACGGGTGTTTGATAAGATTTTTACCGTTGTGGGCTGTCCCGAAGAGAGGAGTGTAGAACTGGCAACGTTCTACTTTTGCCAAGAAGCTAATCTATGGTGGGTTCACGAGAGTCCGGCCTTTCTTGAAGAGCCTGGGTTTGATTGGACCGCGCTCAAGGACAGAATGCGCGAAAGGTTCTACCCAGCGCATGTGCGAGCCACTATGTTTGATGAGTTCCTTCATCTGCAGCAAGGACCCCTATCTGTGGTGGGGTACCACAAGAAGTTCTTAGAGCTGGCGCGCTTCACGAGGATGTTAGTGCCTACAGAGCTTGCCAAAGTTGAGCGTTTCGTTGCCGGTCTGAATTATGAGGCACGAAAAGCGTTGACGGTAAGTAGGCCTAGTTCCCTCAAGGATGCGTATCTGTGTGCCGCGGATCTGTTTCATGTTCAGTAGCTTCAGAAGGGTTCACTTGAGTTGGCTAGGAAGAGAGTTGAGAGTGGAGGTTCTTTTGCTTTCAAGAAGCCCCGACCGAGTTTTCCGGCTAGAGTTGTGTCATCTTCTTCTCAAGGACCAGTTAGGATGGAGCCTTCGGTTCAAGTTAAGTCGGTTGGTTGTCGCAAGTGTGGGAAGGTGCATCCGGGCAAAGTTTGCTATGGCCAGGCATTTAAGTGTTTTCGCTTTGGGGTTGTTGGTCATAGAGTTGCGGAGTGTCCTCAGCTTGTCGGTCAGAGAGCGTTGCCGCCACCCCTGGGAGTCGGAGGAGCACCAGGAGGGAGTTCGAGTCGTGGAGCTGTTGGAGCTAGGCCACCTGGGAGAGTTTTCGTGATGGAGCCTTCGCAGGCGGAGTCGGAGGGTCTTGTGGAGGAGGAGTTAGCAGGTAACCATTGTTTTTGAGCCTATCCTTGTGTCCCCGAGAGCATTGTGTTCTTTGTTGCCTTGGGTGCTATCTTGTGTTTCGTAGTTGTCTTTGTTTGGCAATCCTTGGTGTGCTTTCCTTGTTAGTTTTTCGTTGAAGTGTTTAGTATAGACTCATTTCTTGCTAAGTGTTTTCTTTAGTTGGTATCTTGTTTGTGGTAGCCATCTATCCTTGAGTTATCTTATGCTTAGCCCAATTCTTCCACCTTTGTACTTGGTTGTTC